TTTCGTTCGTTCGTTGTCATCGTTTTTTTTTCTTTTCGTTCGTTCGTTGTCATCGTTTTGGCATTTTTGTTCGCTCATTCACATTTTTTTTTTTTTTTTTTTGTATGTTAGTTGTCATCGTTTTCGTTCTTTATTCCGTTCGTTCTCATATTTTTTTTTGTTTTTAGCCGGTAAATTAATCCTTTTTTTTTTTTTAATATAATCACTTATTCGTTTCCATCCTGCATTATTATAAAATATAATTTCGGATTTGTATATACTCGATAAAAAATACCTTTTGTTCTACGCATCATCATCGTCCTTGTCATTGAAAAGAATCTAAACGAAATATTATTTCCTAAGTTTCTTGTTTGCTACTTTTGTTTTAATTTAATTGTTGTATTGTTTATAAAAATTATCTTTCTTTCGTTATTTTTGGGTTTCTTGAATAAAATGTTTATCTTTGTAGCCTTTCAAAAATTCTTTCGAACTTTTTTAAGGTTTTTCTATTCTCACTTCATCTATTTACATGGTTAAATCAACTTATGTAAACATTCTTCATATCATCTTCATGCTAAAATCTTTAGTGGCCTTCCACGAGTCATCCATTTTCATTCGACCTCGTTTTGGTCATGATTTTTCTTATTTTTTTTTTCTTCTTCTTTCTCCCATTTTAGTGTTCCTCGCCTTTCAATCTGTGTGGCCGGCAGTCAATGGCAAGTTTTCTTTTCTTTCTGCTTTTGTCTCAAATATTTGCTTCGCTTTTCTTTTCTTGTTTGTTAATTGACATTGGTCATGTTATGACTGTCATCATCTGCTTCTTGCTTTGTATATATTGCATTGGAAAATCTGTACTTACCAATCAAGTTTACTCTCTTGTGTCATCACATGTCGACATTTTTCTGTTACCTTTTCGGTGAGATTGCATACAGCATTTTTTAAGCCATCTCTTTTTCAGCGACTCTTTACAAATTTCTGTTGGAATCATAACTTTTTAAAATAATTACCCATGTTTCAGTGCACACACTTCCTTATACTTCACCTGCTATCCAAACTTGAATTCACTTCTGAATTTCAAAAATTACGTTTTTGAAAACGTAATTCATAGAAAATATTAAATAATTATACACGATCAAAATGTAAATTTTATACATTGTATGTGTTATATATATAAATTCAGATATAACTAAAAAGTAGATCTACATAATGACTAAAGACAAAAGGAAACCTTAGCTGATGCGTTTCGTCCTCTGGACTTCATCAAAGCAAAAGGATTATGTTTTACAAGTATTTATAAACAGAAGTAAAAATGCCGTTAGTTTTTAAGAACTTTCAGATTTAAGAACGCCCGAAAATATACATCAGGCTAATTGAAAGCCAAGGTAAATTATGGAGAATGGTAATTTAATGACTAATAAACGAAAATGAGTAAATATTATTGTTGTTTTTTAATGTAATTATTTTAGTTTTAGATTATTTTATGCATTAGGTATGTTTCCTTTCGTCTTTCCATATTGTGCGTGTGTACAAATGTAATTAAATTCCACTGACAAGGTTTGTCTATTCAACATTTTATTATATCGTTGTAATTTCCGAATGGGATATTGTACATCGGGATTGAAGTTATGAATGAATTACCAAAGTTCATTTATTTTTCTCCTGTTATGTTCATTCAACTACTTCCGACTATCATAGTCATTGTCAAGAACGGGGCGTTGTAAGGGTGGTAAGCAAAATTTGTTGACTAAATTGTTTTTTTTAGGTTATTGAAATAGGAATCTGCTCAAAGTGGTCTTATGTAAATTTTGTTTACTATAGAGACAACACCCAGTTCTTGACAATGACTGTGATTGTTTTTGTTTGTTTGTTTTGGGGGGGGTTGTTTGTTTGTTTGTTTTTTGTTTTTTTTGTTGTTGTTTTTTTTTTTTTTTTTTTAAACGTGTCTCCTCAAACATAATGTTTAGATTAGTAGAAAAAAAATTCGGATAAAACACCATTGAATATTTATATAACTGAATGGATAAATCTGTTAAACCTTTTGGTGGATTTCTCCTGAATTTCAATTTGAAGCTTGTAACTGAACTTTCCGTAATGTGTGTAATTTGGATTATCGTTAGTCTTTTTCTTTTTTTCTTTCTAGAACGGAAAGTAGAAAATAATGTCAGTCGAGTGTTTGTCAACCTTACAGAGTTTGTAAATGAACTTAGGGGATCAACCAGTTTTTCACTCGTATCTTTCGGAGCCCTCATCTGACTGTGACAGAGCCTTACTAGTTAGGCTACAAAAGCTACCCAAAAGACGTCATTCAAATTATATTATTCTTTTTCTGATATCGTTTCTAAACTCTGGTGTTTGAGTTGTGTTCGTGGATTCTGCAATATATCAACCTTTCTTTGGTTATTTAATAATTATGTTTGTATAATAACAAAAAATGTGGCACAATGCCAAAAGTGAAGATGGGGGATGACTGGTCTTCATCTGTCTTATCTTAAACTTACCTAGCCACAATCACTGAGCCAAACAAACTATACAATATTCCTTGCATCAAAACACCACATTCTTACTACAACCACCATAACACCTCAAGTCCTAACTAGTATGTACAATTTGTCTGTGAGAGTGGGGGATA